TCTTTATCAGGAGGCGAGGAATGAGTACGTCAGCCCTTGGAGGAGGAATTCAGCACCACCGAGTTTGGTTTGGGGTGGGTGAGCAAGAATTCAGCACCAGCCTCTTGGACCTTATGGTCAGTTCTGCAGCTGGAGATAGGGGTAGATGCTGGATGCGGCCACAGAGCCTTAGCTGCTTGTAGCAGCACCAAAGTCATGGGGAGAGCGACTGCTGTTGAGGTATCCATTTGCATGATGTAAAAAACTGAATCAGTGACTGCTGGAGGCAGCTGCACCGTCGACAAAGTCAGGGTATTTGTCATGCGCTTAATAAGCTCCCCATAAGACTTCAGGTCCTCCGAGGGAGATATTGGGAGGTCCTCCAACACTTTTTGCGGTGGGAAGGGGCCAGGTGGTTGCTCTTGGCTCTTGTCCCCCGATCGTGAGGAGTCAGACAAATCAGACCGGTCAGAAGGGTCTGAAAATGCCATTGGTAATGTCGGAGCCAAATGGGTCAGTACCAATGGAGACACAGTCTGTGACATCGATAAAGGTTTTTGCTTAGGGTGCTTGCCTGTCAGTATCGATGGCTGAGATGGCAAAGCAGGAAGATGTCGATTGATGATCCCATTCCATCAGCATACAAGGTGGGAGCCAGGGCACAGAAGCTGACAACGGATATGCCCCATACAGGTATTGCCACTGGCCTTGATCCCAGGGGCTCGGTAGGGGAAGGAGTGGCTCCGAAGGTCGGTCTCGATCATCAATGGATGAATGACGAGGGGAGGGTTGTGCACATGCTCCTCGACCCGAGTGGATACTCTCAACACTGGAGGATCAGGACAGGAGGCTTGAGTCAGATCCATGTCTTGCTCAGAGTCAGTGAGCTGAATCAGGCTTTCAGCTGCTCACGGCCTGGTGAGTCAAGCGAAGTGACTCCAGAAACCTGAGACGGTTCCAGTGCGTGTCTAGGAGTTGAAGGAACTCTGCTAGGAGAGTCTTTCTTGTGCTTGATGTTCTTGCCCTCCCGGTGTTTCTTGGCGGGAGTATGGGCATTGGACTGAGACATTGGGACTGAGCGTTTCAGCACCGGTCGATTGACATCGGCATGAGCCGGTGTCAGAGACATCACAACCATTGATCCTGATGTGGGGGTCGACATCGAGGCATGCCCAGAAGTGTCTTGAGATCGGGGAGAGAGTTAATTCCAAGAAGCCTCGTAGCCCTGTTCTTCCTCGTTTGCTTAGAGAATTTAGAGCAGTGAGCACAAGAGTTCACGTGGTGGGCTTCCCTGAGGCACAGAAGGCAAAGAGAATGTCCATCCAGGGGGGCAATCTTACTGCCACACTTCAAACACCATTTGAAGAAACCCCACTGTTTGGCCATAGGCCGGGGGTAAGGAGGGTCTGCCAAAGCAGAGTACTCACTGGAGTTCAGTCCCAAATAAAGATTTTTCTTGTTCTTTGCAGGAATCCCGAATTTGGAGAAGGCCAAGTAGGCCACGAAAGAAAGTACCGACCGGAGCTGAGAAGATCAACAGTGCGGCGGTCAGAAGACAACTGGCGGGATTGTTGTGTCCCTCCCATAGTCATGCGTACTGGAGCCCTGCACGTGACCAGGGAGTGGGCACGAAAATCCCTTTCACTTTCGAGTGTACCGATCGGGGTCGGCACAGGCGCACTATATCCCAGAGGTGTGATGCACAGAGACCACGAAGATCAAGTATAGGGATTTCTCACATGGGCAGAGTAATGATTTTATTATTTTAAAAATGCAAGTGATAAAAATAAGAAAGAAGTACTCAGCCTTACTTCTACTCTGACTCTAAGCAGAGTTATTCTTCTGAGCACATTGACTTCAATGGATGGCACTGCAAATCCCTTTAGGAATCCTTGGGTACAATCCTAAGAAATTTCAATCAAGTTATAGTGGGCTAAACTTAACATTTTAAGATGTGTATATATTAATTAAGACAAGACCTTGAATGTTCAGGCCTACACTTTTACACTGGAATAATTAAGAAAAGTTCTAATTAAGTTAAATAGTTTAACCACAGGTATTTTTAGTCTGAGATGTTTCATTTCCTAATTAAATAAAGGAATATTAGCCTAATGTATTTTAGTTACTAGAAATATGCTGACGGCTGCAGGAAAATATAAGCCTCATTCAGGAGAAGAGATCTAAGTGAAACAGTTTCCTGGGCTAGGAAGCCGAGCATGTCAGCAATGATTCAATCAATTATGGTAAAACCAGATACACACTGCTTGTAAATGACATCAACTATACATTTTATCTTTCAACTCTGAAACCTTCTGTGATGACCTGGGGTTTTTGTCCGCATGATGGGGTATGGGGTTAAAAGAACTGAAAACTTTTGGAAACCAATGGCGGCGGCGGGGGGGGGGGAGATCCTTGCCACCAGCTGGGAAACTGGTTTCTATGAGACCATCTGTCTGTTCCTCCAAGACTTTGGACAGTGATCTGTGGAACTCTGAGAAAAGAAAAGTCTCTGAAAATGAAGGTTAACCCTTTCCTTACATTTTTATGGTATTGGGCTGAGAAGTCTGGGCCACTGCTGAGTTTAAGCTAAGAACGCAATGGCATTTATTCCAAATAAAACCAAAAACGTTTCCAGCCTACCAAATGGGAAAGGGTGGGAAAGAAGTAGAATAAACACAGATCTAATTAGAAAATCAATCCCAAAGGCAGAATCTACAAAAGCAAAATAGAATAAAAATGTGAAACACATCAACTAATTAGTTTACATACCTAGCCATTTAAATTATTTTATGGCTTGTGTGATGAGCACCAGGATACATACATCAGTTTTCCAGCAGCATTTTGGAAAACAACAATTTATATTTATTTATTTATTTATTTATTTGATTTTATATACCGCCCTAACCCCCCCATGGGGGTCTCTGGGCGGTTTACAATTTTAGTAGTGCTAGTCACATGTTACAGTCCCTAACTACGGCCACATTCTCAGAGGGGTTGGGTCAGCCTACCAGCACCCAGGTGGTGACGGTTCTTTCTTCCGGCCTCCGGCATCTTCGGCTTCAGATGTCTCTCGGTCCTTCAGTCCAGCGGGACGTTTCTTTGTGGTGCTTTCGGCGGTGGCTGCTCTTCGACGTGCGAATCCGCTCTCCTTGGCCCCGGCTATGTCCAGTAGGCTCCGCCGCGCCGGGAGATGATGTCTTCCCGCGCCTCTGCTGCTGGCGACGGCCGCTTCTGATGTTTCACCGCTGGCCACCAGGGATCACTCTTCTGGCTTCAGTCGCCGCGCCGCACCACATCGTCTCCGCCGCCAGGACTTCGCCGTCTCACCGCCATTACCACTGTTCCGCCGCGCACCACACACCTCAGGAGAGGAGGGTGCCCCCTACCCTACTAAGGGTAGGTCCCCATTTATCTACTCGCCTTTTAACGGGCTTTCGAACCGCTGGGTGGGCAGGAGCTGGGACGTAGGCCGGGAGCTCACTCCGGCCACGGTGGGGCTCAAACAGTTGTTCGGCGAGATGTTAATGCAATCTGCATTTACAGCCTGCGCCACCGCTCCCTGTAGTTCAACACCTTTGGTGTCTCCTTTTATATACTATTTTGTATAATAGCACCCCATTGGCTAAATTTGTAGTATAAACTGAGGCTCATCCACTTCCCCTCATTAGGTGAGCCAATGAAAAGACACGAGAAAAGCTCTTCATAAGTTGTTCTGTTAGATGAGCTAGATATTGGCACTGTCAGATCCTTGGGTTAGTTTTTCTGGAATGTAGTAGCTAGGGGTGTGTAAAAAAACCCCCAAATTTGGCCCGATTCCGTTCAGCCGAATGGGGCTGCATCTGATTCGGCCCACCAAATGACCCTCGAATGCCACTTTCGGCAATGCAAGCTGATTAGGGAGTCATTCGGTCATCCGAATCACTTTAGGCCAGGAAACCCGGGCAAGCCAAGGGAAGGCAGTTTTAGCCTTCCCTCCAAAGGCTGGCTTGCCTAGGCTACCCCTAGTCGCACCGCAGAGGCAGCACACTCTCTTCAGTGAAGGGAGACCACTGCCCTCCAAGCTAGCCCCCCTGCCTTTCCTTGGAGGAAAGGACGGGAGAGTGACCCCCACCTGGCCTTCCCTGGCCCGCCCTCTGACGCGGGTGGGCCAGGGAACCCTGGAAGGATCAGGGGGGCATTTAAATGCCTCCCGTGCCTTCCCTGGCCTGTCCAAGGGGGGGCTTGCCCAGGCTCCCCACAGCCATGAGATGCCTGGGCAAGCCAAGGAAAGGCAATTTAAACTGCCTTCCCTCCAAGGGGAGGCTTGCCCGAGTCCCTGCAGCCATGAGGTGCCCAGAAGCCAAGGGAAGGAAGTTTAAATTGCCTTTCCTCCACGGGCGGGCTTGCCTGGGCTCCCCGCAGTCGTGGGGTGGCTGGGCAAGTCCAGGGAAGGCAGTTTAAACTGCCTTCCCTTCAAGGGGGGGCTTGCCCGGGCTCCCCGCAGCCACGGATCGCCCAGGCAAGCCAAGGGAAAGCAGTTAGGCAGTTTAAACTGCCTTCCCTGCCTTTCCCCGGCTGTTTTCTGGCCAGCCAAAAGCCACCCAATGAGTCAGCAGCTTTCTTTTGGCTGGCCAAAAATCGGTTGAATCAACTGTTTTCAACGGTGCATTCGGTTCGGACGCATATCCCTAGTAGCAGCTACCTCCCATGAAGCCTTCTTGCTAGTGACAGTACTCAGGGTTTTGGTTAAACAGGTCAATCACTTAATATTCATTCATTCATTCATTCGATTTATACCCCACCCTCCCCGCCAAGGCAGGCTCAGGGCGGCTTACATAAAAGTGCATATATAAATACAATTAAAATCAATTTATAAAAACAACCATAAACCATAAACAAATCTTAGTTTTAGAGGAAAAGGGAGATTTTGGGGAGAAGTTACTGGCTTGTCAGTCCACCTTCAAATAAGAAAATAAATTCTAGAAAAGTTCTGTTTTATTTCACTAACTAAAAACTCTTTATGGGAAACAAAAATCTCGTACCAAGGTCACGTCCTGCTGTAGGATCAAAATGCATTTGCTGAAATCCAGGAATTGGCCGTGTTGTGAGATACCACACAGCATGAAGAACATCTGTTGCATGTACTCGATTGTGATCTGAAAATAAGAATTATTATACTTAAATGTTACTACCTTATATATATTAAGATAAATAAAACTGGCTGTCACCTATTACCTATCTACATGTTGTCCCATGTAAGTCACTGGCTGAGCGGCTTTGGTATCACAGAATGTTCCTGTCATACAATGTTTACAAAAACTTCTATGGCTTCTATGAAGTGATAGGTTGTGTTGCAACTTAGAGTAGGGTCCCCCAGCATGGTGGCTGTGGGTGCCATGATGCCTGCCACTTGCTAGTACTTTCCTTAGCACCTGAGCTTTTCAGAAAGTGGGGCGAGGCCATTGTAAGGCAGGGCATGTTACTGGCTTCCATCATTCAAGTAAAAGAGTTTTCCACTGAAGAATTAGGAGGACTGATAGGACTGGGCTTTCCTTAGTGTGTGGTTCTATTCTGTTCCCTTTGAGGATTTCATTTTCCCCAGGAGGTATGAGAGAGGTATTTAGTTTGGCTCCACTTTCTATAGAAGCCTTTTTTGGAATACTGCTCACATCCCTTCTCAAAATTCCAAAGGGGACTATAGTCTGAAAATGTTTGGGGACCCCTGGCTTAGAGTCTTAAAGGAATATGTACTGTTGACAGGATGGGATGAACAGAAGAAGAAGGATTTAAGAATATAAAACTGAGGCCCCTGCCACACGGCAGGGGAAAAGCCTCTAAAGGCGCGGCTTTTAAAAGCCGCGCCAACGTTGAGACGCCGCAGCGGGATCCCACGGATCCCCTGGCTGCGGCGCCTTTTCTCCCCGGCGCGATTAAATGCCCAGCTAGCAGCGCGGCTTCCAGTTGAACCACCAAGGTAGGTGGTTTCAACTTGAGGCGCATTTGTGCGGGGAAGGGCCAGTTCGGGGACGGAAGCAAGACGCTTCCCAGATTTTGTGGTGTGATTGCGCCGGTTTGATCCGCCCCCGAACTGTCCCGCTCCCGACCCAAATCGCCTAGTGTGAACGGGACCTGAGACTGACAAATGGCAAAATAGGCAGAGGTCAAAGAAGAAGAGTGGATGAATAAGGAAAAGATACAGATTAAGAACTGGACTGAGAAGCACACACTAAAGAAAGGGTAGCGGAAATAACTGAGTAGGAGAAAGTAACAGCACCAAAGCAAGTGGGGGAAACTGGAAACACTTTAACTGGATCTAGGGAGAGGAGTGACTGTATGTTAATCCTGCCACCCATCATAGTCGCCAGAAGAGGGGAGCAACAGGCTTCTTCTTCTTCTTTTTTGCAAAAAGCTCCAGCTCCTTGATATTCTACATGTACTTCCTGTAACTCTTCTGAGTCTATATTCTTTTATTTATTTATTTTAGCATTTTTGTGTGTATGTCTGCCTGTGCCTGGAAGTCATGGAGACCTCTGGCAACTCCTACTGGGGCATGGGAGGGCGTTCAGAGAAGTGGCTTGATAGCCTGCCTCTGCCTCCCGGCTCTGGTATTTTTTGGAGGTTTTCCATCCAAATACTTGCCAGGGTCGGCCCTGTTTAGCTGCCGAAATCTGGCATCACAGGACCCACATGCACTAATAACAATGTTGGTCAGCGGCTGTACTGAGGAGGAACATGGCTGTGCTGTTGAAAGAAGTAGAGGGACATATTTTCCCTCTCTCCCCTCCTCATTTCAGCCTCCAACCAATGTGGCTACTAGACCACAACTTCCCTGGGGTTGGAAAGAAGTGCTGTTGGGAGAAGAATAAGATTAAGATCCACATCCGTTAGTGCCTTCTGATGATAGGATCACTGGTTACTACACACTGATTTATATAAAGGCACTCTTAACATTATCCATTTTATTGTCAACTAATTTCCCACAAATTCTTAAGAATTCTTAACATCTTTTTACACCCAAGTTCCCCCTTGACTTTTTTTCCTCACTCTGTCACCCCCTGCAGTAACTTAAATGATGATAGGTTGGTGCATGTCTGTACTAAATGAAGGCAAAAAATAGGTGAGCTTCTAAAACATGTATCCATACATTTTAAAGGTACTATAATCTAAGTGTTCAACCCTAGAACTTGATAGGAGCATATGAACTCTTGTACAACAGCAGTTCCACAAAGTATATTATCATATTAATGTTTCAAAAAGTTGCAACAATGATGTAGACAAAAACCACAATCATATAGAGGATGGTTGACAAAAGGAACCAGAATTTATGTTTGAAAATTAAAAATTGACTGAAATGGCAGAACATTAGAATGGTCAATGGAACTGTAGTTTGTTGCAGATGCTGAGAATTCGCTTAGTGATCCCCTGGTTTACACCTAAGACTAAAACACATGTGTGTTTAGATGCCCCAAAAGAAAGAAAAGTCAAAATTAAAATTAGGTTCAAATAAAAATCAACATAAAACCTTCTATGAATTCTGCAAATCTCATTAACATTTCTTTGTAATATATTCTCCAGGCTAGCAGTGCTTTGCACAAACTATTTATTCATTTTAACCAATTTACTATGATTAATGTTAGCATTTTAACTTTATTCCATTATTATTCCATAATGCATAAGAAACACATTTACTAAAAGAAATACAATCTCCATTTGTACAATACTGATTTGTCGTAATAGTGTTTTGTAAATATATGACTAACAGTATAATCATATATTGTGGCTCAGCAGAGAAAAGGGCCTAGTATTGTAAAATCTTACTCACAGGGAATGTCTCGGTAACCATTTTCTAGAGCCTGGAAGTACTTCATGAATTTCCAAGTTGGAATTTTGAAAATTTCAAATAATCCAGTGTCTTGAAACAATGCATATGCAACCTAAATAAACAATACATTTTTTTAATTTAAGGAGTATCAAAGCACAGTAATCTATGTTTTAACCGTTTCAGGATTCATATTTCAAAACAGATATTTCAACAATTCAAATTTAATGTATATTTACTATTAATACATTATTAATAAGGTTTTGTGAATTTTCTTCTAATAACAAGGACGTGATGATCAATTTACTCAAATATGTTATCAATTTAGTCAAATATTTATTCAAGAGTTCTGTACAAAACCATTTATTTATTTATTAAAAGCACAAAGTTTTAAATATCAACTAAGTAGAATGTTAATTGCTTCTCATATACAATCTAATTAAAATGTACTAATCAGAATCCTACCTCAGACAGTTAGATGAACCATACAAACAGCATGCAGGAGAGGGAAATCACTGAAAATTAGGCCCTCTTTGCTGACAGAAAGCAGCAGTTGGATGTCACTAGTTATTAGCAAACTGGAAGCGAGTTTGGAGTTATGTACTCCCTTCTCACTTATATAATCTCCCACTTCCTTTCTTTGTTGGTCTTAATAGGATAAATTACATCTGTTTCAATACTAACCATGATTCATGTGAACCAAGTTCACTCTTAATCAGCATTTCAAAGTCAATTTCAAACCTTACTACACCTTCAAATATTGAGGTATTCAATACCAAGACATACATTTCCCACAGTAAAAACATTTCAATATTTATAAACTAAGATATAATTATGTTACTTTTCAAACCACCACTGTATATGTATCTCTAAACTGTTCACCACAAGCTTATATGTGGTGAACACACATACTGAACATAACGTATTCACTGGAGAAACAAACCTGACTAAGGATTCTTCCAGATTTATCCCCCATTTTTTGAACAAGATCAAATATTTGGAAGTTCCAGTTGTTCATTTTTTCCATTAATGAATCATAGTCTTCAGTTACCATCAGGTCCAATGGAGGATCTCCTTCTAACTGTGCAAGAGAAAGTGTAATTCACATACTAAAATAAATACAATATATAGTATCCTTAGTATAATCATTGTTATACAGGTAGGCATTACGAATGTGCATTTGGGTATAACACAGATGAAATAACAACAACAACAGCAGCAACATTTAATAAAATTGTGACTTTCTGAAAGAGATTTTACAAAAGAAGAAAATAAAATACTATTGGAAAATACCATTTGCAATAGAGGTACACTTACCAAAAGGAAGTAAAATAATAAAACAGGAGAACAAACCAAATCTTTGGCTGAAGAATTACAACTGGAGGACCCACATAGAGGAACTAAAGGAGAATCTCCAAATAATTTAAAACGAAGTCCATCCAGGAGCTTAGGAGAAGAAGCAACTGTGCCATCAACATCCAGTCAAAATGGATACATTAAAAATATCAATAAATATTAACAGACTGAATTCTCCAAAGAAATGTACAAAAACCTTCAATCAAGAAGAAAATGCTGATATTTTATGTCTACAAGAAACCCACATAAAGAAGCAATGAACGTATTTTAAAAAACAAAAAATTAGGGAAAGCATATCTTGCCTCAGTTCCAAATAAAAATGTGGAGTAGTTATTTATATAAACAATTCACATTTAGAAGTAATAGAATAACTAAGAGATCTAGAGGGAAGATATTTATTTTTAAAAATGAGACTTCCAGAAGGTAAGATCTGCATGCTAGCAACAATATATGCACTAAATAATGCTAAAGCTATATTTTTTGAGGTTCCCCCCCCCAAACTATGCTAGAATTCCAAGATGAAGATATAGGCTGATTTCGCACAAGGAGCTGCGCCGCCATCATGCCTCTGTTGATACACCCCAAGACTGCATTAGCCTTTTTTTGTTGCCGCATCACACTGGCTGCTCATATTTAACCTACGGTCCACCCATACCCCATGATCTTGTTCACACACTGCTACCTAGAAGTGTATTCCCCATCCAGTATCTGACATAATTATCTGACATAAATATCACTTTGTCGGGCTGGGCCATGTGTGCCTTAAAAAGTATTGTCAGGTACCAGAGATAGAAACTGTATAAAGGACAGCAGCTGGTAAGCTCCGAATTGGTGTATCCTCACTGCAAGGACCCATGGGCTGGTGTGTAGTGTGAATTTAGGACAATCTTTAATTTTTTTTCCTGTTCCTGTGTTAAATTGAGTTGATGTTCATATGGATTTAACGTCTGTAGCCACACCTACCCAATAGTACTCCTACTTGTTGAGGACACTCTAGTGCTGATTAGATAGTCACATAGGTATTTTCTGGACCAGAATTAGAAGGTAATTTTTACATTCTTGATTTTTCAGTTTCAGTTATTATATTGATTTTAATTTACTGTACTAGCTTTTAAAATATATTTTATTTTTTAGATTTTCTCATTCAACTGCCGTGTATTTGGCATTAGACGCATGACTCGCATCTTAAGAGGCCTCATAAACATTGCTTGTCTTGTATCTATTAACACTGCTGTTGAAGTAAATAATATAGTTATTTCTACCATATTGCAAGTAAAATTTATTATTTTATATGATTAGTTATATTCAATACTTTTTTTCTACAGCTTTCACTTTTTGGTGCCGTGTCAAATTATTGTTTGTTATTTCATTGTAACATGTGCCTATCTGTACCTCAAATAGTTTGACTTCTGAAGAAGGCCCCCAAGGGACGGAAACGCATCAGGTTACTTGTATTGGCCCTTGTGTTCAGGTCATGTACTTTGTAACAAGGTTTTCATTGAGCCCTTATATGTTTTTAACTGTTTTTCTAATAAATACAAGTATTTTTGTATATAATAATTATACACTAGGCTTTTAATACTGGCCCTTTATCAGGCTTCTAGTTTATATTTATACCCTAGCTTTTTTCTGCTCCTTTCTTCTGCTCATGCTAATGTTGCAGATCCAGACATCAGTGCTAACTTAGGGAAAGTGCATATAACAATTCATTATGTGTATAAGTGATGATGCAATTAGCGATAATGTCACAGAATCTATATTGTTTATTGATGGTGAAAGTTGTGAATGCAAAACCAATACAAAACAAAACAGAAGAGCCTGCCACTTTAGCAACACTCAGAAGAGTAGAAAGAGGCAGCAGCTGCAACAGGATTTGGATTGCTTAACATATTATTACTTAGGGTTAGCTCCAGCAATACCTGGACTCTGCTGGCAGAAGAGGCTGGAAAGGTGATTTTGTCTCCTTCCACCTTTATATTGTCGTTCCCAACCCACATGGCTATTAGCTTGACAATCAAAATCAGCTTTCCTAGGGTTGGAAAGGACTGCTGGGGAAACACAGGAAATGTCTGCATTTGTTAGCACATTGTGCTGAATGATTGCTGGATTCAACCTTTGTTTTTCAAGTTAAATTCCATACATTTGATTCTCTTATTAATGTATCAAAAATATATTAGCAAAGGTCAGTGAAACATTACTCTATCAAAATACTGTGCAACAAACTAAATATGCATGCAAGTTATGGTTTACAACAAAATTTCAATCACATCATTGTAGTTATTAGGGTAATATGCTTACATCAAGTTGCTTGTTTTCAGTCTGGGCCATTTGACAATTTTGAGTTTCTAATTCTCCTGTTCCATCCTGTTGTTTCTCTGTATGGTGAATAAGGTCTTTTGGGATTTCATTATTTCCATCTTCACCTTAAAAGTTCAAATAAAGCTAAGATTTTTAATCAAAATCTATTTTCAAAACATTTGACAATTATTTAAATATAGAGCAGGAATCTGAAAATTAGTTCAGGGGTCATGAATTACCCTTCAATATATCTTGAAGGCATACTATCTTGCCTACTCATAACAAACACTATCTTTGCCTGTATCACTGATTTATAAAACATTTCTGCATGATTAGAAAAAACATGCCAGAACTGCATTTTATCCTTTTTTCCTATATTCCCGCAAACCCTACCTAGCAATAACAGTATCTCATCATGCTTGTACAACTATATTTCAGAAAACAACACAACAATGGATGGGATATCTGGGGAAATAACTTCATGGTCCCAAATACTGTACTTTCTGTACTATGGGATTTTGCCAAAAGAGAAATACAGTCTCAAGGGAAGATGTATAAAATGGGTCACAACAAATTTAGTAAGAAGTGCACACTTGTACAAAGAACTGATTGTGTGGAAAGGCCATTACTCTGTAAGTTCCCTAGGCAGGGAACATGTCACTTCTGTATAATACTCAACACACTATAAATGTAAAAATAGTAATAGACAAGTTTTCACACAGATACAGTTAATGATTCTGAAGTGCACACAACTTTTTCAAATTAAACACAGTCCTCAAATTCACATGCCTTGAATCTCATTGCAAAACTTATTAAAAGTGCTTATTAGTAGTTCTTTTAAGTGATGTGTAATTTCTGATTAAATTACTAGTGTAAGTCTGGAGAGGTTCTGTCTTTAGCACTGTTTTTGCTAGATAAAGCCTACAGACAGTGAATGTCTACATAAAATAGATACCCATACTAGTAAATAAAACTTGCAAACATATACATGGCAAAGTTCCTAATCCCCCAAATAGGCCTAAAAGGAGAAATGGAATACTGCACACAGCTTTCTTGGTTTTATACCAGAATGTTGGGCTTGATTATGAGGATCATATGTACAAATACCTCATTTTCAAGCTTTCCCAGTAAACATCAGCCCTCCAGCCTCATTTCAAGGAGGGATATATACAGCAAGCTTGTTGTGGTTATTTCTTTTAAATACTTTAATTCCACCTTCCTCTTGAACCAGACCTCAGTACTGCAACCCTCCTGCAGCTAAGAAGATATAGATCTGTACAGGAGATCTCCTGGAACTCCTACATGAGCCATCTTGAGCTCCACAATGGAATAAAGGTCAGTGTGACAGATTGCACAGAAAAGCAGGCTTTTTAAAATCTGCTTGGTAACATAAGAACATAAGAGACGCCAATGTTGGATCAGGCCAAAGGCCTATCCAGTCCAACACTCTGAGTCACACAGTGGCCAGAAATACCAGGAGCCATCAGGAGGTCCACCAGTGGGGCCAGGACATTAGAAACCCTCCCACTGTTGACCCCCCCAAGCACCAAGAAGACAGACCATCACTTGCCCCAGAGCCCCTATCTATACCTTGTGGTTAATAGCCACTGGCCAGCGTGATCTGGTCCATGGGGTTGCGAAGAGTCGAACTCAACTGTACGACTGAACAACAACAACAATAGCCACTGATGGACCTCTGCTCCATATGCTTATCTAATTCCCTTTTGAAGCCATGCTTGTAGCCACCACCACTTCCTGTGGCAGTGAATTCCATGTGTTAATCACTCTTTGGGTGAAGAAGTACTTCCTTTTATCCGTTCTAACCCGACCGCTCAGCAATTTCATGGAGTGCCCACGAGTTCTTGTATTGTGAGAAAGGGAGAAAAGTACCTCTTTCTCTACCTGCTCTTTCCCAAGAACTGCACACAGTATTCCAAATGAGGTCGCACCATTGATTTATATAGGGGCATTATGATATTGGTACAGACAGTCAGGGAGGTTATGAGTTACTTCCCTGGAGAGAAGAGCTTATATGGTTGGCTGCTCTACTCACTCTCTAATTGGCCAGCATCAGCTGAGACAGGAAATAAAACAGCTAATCTGGAGAAAAAAGAGATCTTTCTGTTGCCAAAGGCGCTGCCTTTTACTCTTGGGTAGCCCCAAAGCAGGGGCATCCCACTTTCTAACCTGACCCAGGGACCCACAAAACTCAGGCCAAGGCACTCCTGGTTCTGAAACCCAGAGCTAGCCACAGCTCTGAAAAAGGGGTCTCCATTTTCAGGTGACAGGCAACCTCAGAGCAAGTCTCCAGTCTTCCCACTCCACCCAGCAGAGATTATGCTTATGGAATAACAATGAGTTCCACCAGGTGAAGTATCTACATTTCTAAAGTCTATTCAGAGGCCATCTGGCAAATAACTCTGTCTCCAGTAATTCTTTGTCTTTCCAGCTCCATCCCTCAGGATACCAAGATAAACCAATGAAGCATTCAAATTATTAACTATCCTTCCTGACGCTAATCAGGGACCCATCTCCCATCTTTTGTTTGTATCTGGGAACCTATTCAACTGCTTTGGCCAGGACCATTAGTGGTCAGATAATCCATTCAACTAGTCACCCAGCACCTGTCTTCTATTGTTAAATCCAGACCTTGCCTCTCTGGAAGCTCATTGGCCACATCCAGGCCTTGCCCATCCTGATGTCACACACCCCTGGGACCCCGAACCTTCCAGACAGCCATTTAATGCCATTCGACAAACTTGTAATAAAACTTAAAATCCTGTTTTTTGAGGATTGAGTAGACACGGGGAAAATTGCACAAAGCTGCAGGGCAAAATGCGGCCGTGCAGCAGCTTGTGTGAAATTGACAAGTACCATCGGGGCAAAAGGGAGGAGTGAGCGCGGAGCAGCGCTTGTGGGAAATCACCCATGGAATTGGACTTCTTTGCAACTAAATGGGTTAAAAGGCACTGGTGTTTTGTTCACTTGCAGGTAGCAACCCTCTCTCCATAGGTGATGCTTTTTAGTTCCCCTGGAAAGTAAAAGGCACTTTGAGTATCAGCTAGACTCACCTTTCCACAAGGCTGACGCAAACCTGCCTAACAGATCATGCTAAGCCCATGGACCAAGCCAGCATTGGAGCAAGACAAGCCAGCACAGCTGACGGCTGCTACAATAGTTGGCAGCCTGCTAACATGATTGTTGTTCCCAGTACTCTAGTGTTTCCTTCTTACTTTCCTTGCACCCAGCTCAGCCAGATCATGCAAAGCAGTAGTTAGTATGTTGCAGCAAGATAAAACTTTTCCCTCTCTTGTTCTTACTTTCTCTCTTTCTTTTCCACACTTTTCTCATTCATTTCTCTCTCCTAATTCTGAGTCTCCTAACTTTATTCTCTGATGAGTTATGCCGGTCATAAACTGACAGACGGAAAGACAGGCCAATTCTTTTACTACTATAGATTCATGGTAACAGCAAACAAAGTGATGTTTTGTTATGATGTTTGGTTTGAAAGTGGGGGTCGGTGGAATCTTTCTCCAGGGGCCCATGGTGGGTCTCAGCAGCCCCGTATCTGGTTACCAAATAGGCTTGCCAAGTCCCCCTGGGGGGTGGAGAAACCCCCGCCCCAGAGGCCCGTTCCCCGCTGCCGCCGGATTGGGCCCCGGGGGGAACTCCACCCCGACGTGCACGTCACCAGGAAGTGACGTGACCACGCCGGGCACGCTGGGGGCGGGGCCACGGTCATCCGAGGGAAAACTTTATGGTTTTCCCTCGGATGGTCGTGGCCCCACCCCCAGCATGCCCGGAGTCCCCCGCTTCAGGATGAGGTACGGTTTGGCAACCCTATTACCAAAGCAAAGGATTTCAAATGTTTATGCAGTTCAACCTCCTACCTGATTTTCTGCTTTGATATTCTGAAGCACATTCAGATAATGAGGCTGTAACAGGTTTGAATATCTGACGTCCACAACTTATCAAAAATGAAACAAGATGCAATAGTCATTTATCTTAATTCACACTTTTTTGAATATCAAATTATCCTTCCTAAATGCTAAAGATCACACACTAATAACAGTGGAATATCACTGTATAACTCCTATTCACATTTTCCACGATCATGCAATTTTAGTTGCACCCAAGAAAGAGCCTACAAGCAAGGTTGGAGAAGAAAGTGGCTTTACACTATGGAGCTGTTTCAAGCAAAATTTGCTAAGAGGCCTGGAGGAAAAAATCCTGTCCCCTTAATAGAGGTTTAATGTGTGGAAATGACCAGCTAAAACTTTTCATGACCCAGAGGTAAATATCATCATTTGATTCTTCCTGCAAATCTAATGGATATTAAAAGGATAACAAGAGGGTCCAGTTTCAAAGCTGACAACCCTAGTTACAGGAGAAATGTTCCTGGGAATAGTTGACGTACCAGATCTTTCTCCATCTTCCTTTTCCCTGAACAGTCTGCTGTTTGTTCCAAAAATCCCCTCTAAGGATTAGAGGGACTTTGCCAACAAAATGCACCATGGGACACTGTATTTCAGCTAGGGTTACCATATTTTGAAAAGCAAAAAAGAGGACATATTTCTTGACTGACTACTTCAAACAAATAATCACTATGACAAATCTCATTTTAAATACTCCTACTATTTAAGCTGTGATAATTGCTACTAACTAGGAATATTCCTAACCTTCCAACCCCAAAAGAGGACGTTTTCATCAGTTTTTTAGTTTTTTTTAAAGAGCCCAAAAGAGGATAGGACACATGGGACGTTTTCATCAGTTTTTTTTTTTTTTTTAAGAGCCCAAAAGAAGAGGACATCCGGTAACCCTAATTTCAGCACCAAGGGCGTATTAGGTAAAATTGCTTCTTTCTTCCTCTTCTGCTGATGCAAGCCACCAGCAGAGAAGGGAGAATGAGGCAATTTCTGTGTTATCACTGCAGCATACCACACTGTGGTACATTATGTTTCTGAAGCACCTCTCAGTGAGCATTTTTGTGAAAAACAGTAGACTGCTTGGGAAAGAGTAAGGAAAATCCACTCTGCTAACTCCTGCAAGCATTTCCACTGCACCAAAGCCAATTTTTATGTGATCAGAGTCACACACTATTTGCAGGACCTTCCAATAAAGAAAGGAATATTTTATGATGGTACGATAGTCTACTGCTAGAAAACAGAATCCATAAGATGGAGCAAAAGGAAAAGCCACCAACCACTATGCAAAACAAGTTGCAAAATAAGATGAGCACTGAAAAAGTGGGCAGAGGAGGGAGGCGTCTACTCCCAGCCTCCAAGATAATAAATATCAAAATGTTATTGAAATGTTCGATTTAAACATTAATAATTGATTAAATAAAGAGAACATTACCTACTACATGTATAATATGATGTTCTAAATGGTTGCTGAAAATCTGAAGAACTAAATGTGCATCCCAGAGGTTTATGTAAAGTAACACTTGGCTTAGTAAGGAAGTCTGCAGTATCAGGAAATTCTACCGGTGACCGGTGGAACCCACTGGATATAAATCCATTAGTAGGTGAACTCACATGACTTAAATTTGAGGAAGTTCCTAAAGGAAAAAGTCAAAGGAATAAAACTTTAGAAGCTCACTAAAGCATCCTCATTGATACCATATATTCACAAATCAAATAAAATTCATACAAGGGATTATAAATTCAAGGATATCCCTAAGAGGAAATCACGCTTGTTCTAGAGCTTAGGAAACTTCAATTGGTCCAAAATGTGGTAGGCAGGCTATTGCCAGGGACTGGTTAGAGTTCATGTTACCCTTTTCTGAATAATCTGCTTTGGTTACCCATTTGTTTCTGTGCCCAACTCTTAAATGCTGGCTCTTACTTTTCAGGTTGTAAATAGCTTGAAGCCAGGGTACCTGAAGAACAGTCTCTCATACTGTCCAGCCCACCAGTTAAGATCTGCATCTCAAGCCCTGCTCTCTCTGTCCCCACCTTCAGAAGTGAGGCAGGTAGTAACTAAAGACATTTTCTGTGATGGCACTTCACCTCTGGAACAGCCTCCCCCGAGGCTCACTTGGCACATACTTTACTGTCTTTTAGGCACCAGTCCAAAGCATACCTTTTAACTCAGGACTTATTTTATCTTTTTCTAAACCGTCTGCTTTTGTTTTATGGATATTTTTATGCTGTTTATGTCCAATGGCTAGTTTTAATAGCTTATTTTTATATTGTTATGTGGTTTAAATTGTAAGCCACCTCAAGCAGGACTCTGAATAGGTGGCAAAGAAATATCCTAAATAAATATGTGCATCACAAGGAAGACTGACGATCCAAGTAACTAGGCGTGCATATGATATTTAAAGCATCTTGCTTTAGAAACGTGCATGAGTTCCAAAATGCATACAGTTCAGTTTTCACTGAGATACAACCCGCCAACAGTAGTTTTTAGGATTATGTGATGGAACTCTCTGGATGGACAAACATTTCAGAGAAATTGTAAAAAAATCAAACAGAATTTTTGATATTTCAAAGAAAAGGAATAGAGTCTGCAGTATGTTATTTGTAAGTATCTATATTGCACTGTTTTGTACATTTTGCACTCTACTGCAAATTTTAGATTTATTATAATTTGTATAACAAAGGAAAATATATTGTTTGAAAACTCTGGTCCTTCTCACAGAGGTATAGCTTCCAAGATACACAGATCAGTTTCAATCTGTGATATATGTATAAAGGTAAAAGGTAAAGGTTCCCTTGCTTGAAAGCCAGTTGAGTCCGACTCTAGGGTTGCGGTGCTCATCTCCGTTTCAAAGTGCTGTCCGAAGACGTTTCCGTGGTCATGTGGCCGGCATGACTAAACACCAAGGTGCACGGAACGCTGTTACCTTCCCACCAAAGTGGTACCTATTTATCTACTTGCAATTTCTTGGTTTCGAACTGCTAGGTTGGCAGTAGCTGGAACTAGAGACAGGAGCTCACTCCGTTATGCGGCAACTCGGGTCTCGAACTGCTGAACTACTGACCTTCCACAGCCTGCAGTTCAGCGTCTTAACCACTTGAGCTACCACAGCTCCGGTATATGTATACCCTTAGTTATAAAGTATTTGTGTGCAAGCAAAGTCTGGCACATACTTATATCCCATATATTTTGGCCACAGTTCAGAGACTTCTTTCTCTGCACATCTTCAGTTGCACTCTTGCCTCTTCTCTGTTTTTAAAAGCACTCTCCTAGTGGTATCAAAACAGCTCTCAGCCTTTGCTGGTTTCCAAAGTACCTTGCATATATTATGGAGAACTGCTGTGGGGAACAGAAAGCTGGGAGGACTGTGTGCCATGCAAAGTTAATCACAAAGTTCTATGGATAACAGACGTATCATTTATAGCACACTACCAGTCCTAACCCCCCTTTTTTGTAATTCTATTTATTTATTTATTTGTGCTGAAGAAGCAGAGGCAGCCCCATAGAATACAGGTATTAGACAGAGATCAAATCACATTGAAAACCAGGGGCTTAGGTTATTCTAGTATTTCTTAAGAAACTATGTCTCATTTTTCATTTTGAGTCACAATGCAGCAGGAAGTTTTTCAGTTTTCTAAGAATTCTACAACTTTATATTTTTACAGGCAAGACAACAACAAATAGTCAGCTGTGAAAGTCTTAACAAATACAAAAATAATTTAATGTGTCACACATTATGCTTGTATAAAAATATCACTGCAGAAATACTTCTACACCCAAGTTATAAAAACGTGATGCATATCCTACCAGCTCGTTTTGGGCCTATATTATGAGCCAAGGTCACTGAAGATGATCTTTGTTTTGGTATTGTCAACAGGTTTGTGTTGAGAGGCCCATTTGGATAGGATCCTTGACTAAACGTAAGACAGGAAAGAAAAAGTGTTGCTCATCTTGTATTATTTTACTAAACAGAGTGTAATACAGGTAAGATCACTTTAATCTTATGAATAAAAGATACACAATCAAAAAAATAACAACTGCTAAAAGTGTATCCTATTCACAAAGGTATCTTGGGACAAATACATAATTAATAGAAAGAAAAATCATTGATAAAATGACACATAATTGCATAGTTATTTTACCAGCTTTTCCCATTTTTACACCATGCAACTGCTGGCACTTTGATGTAAAGGAAGTCATAGTCACTGAAGGAGATGGCTTTTTATCCATGCTGGGGATAATAGGGTTGCAATTTTCAGTGGAAAATGAGGCAAAAAAGTGTTAGGTATTGTCCCTTCCATAGCTTCCCCCTCCAAGTCACAGTTATAGTGACATTTTATATTTTGAAAAGTCAGCAAGAAACAAGGAGTCATGAAAATAAAAATACCATGTAGTTTCATTGAATCAACATTATAATATGCCTACTAGTCACAGACCAAACTTATTTCCCCTTGTTCCATATATGAGGTGATATAAAGCATTAAGTTCTGTACTTCATTCTGTATCAGTAAATACTCATTGTAATGTTTAAATGGAAGACAAGTATCACACAGCAGAGCATTTGTACCATTTTGTTTAGCTCAAACATAGCGTTCATTGCTCAAATAGATAGCAAGTCTTCTCTGGTCACTACAGTCAGATTACATTCATTCATTCATTCCCCGCTTTTCTCCCCAGTAGGGACCCAAAGTGGCTTATATCATTCTCCTTTCCTCCATTTTATTCTCACAACAACCAGTGAGGTAGGTTAGGCTGAGAGTGCGTGACTGGCCCAAGTCACCCAGCGAGCTTCCATGGCAAAGCGGGGATTCCAACCTGGATTTCCCAGATCTGAGAGACAGTTATACACACTTACTTTAAAATACTTTCAAATAATCTCTGACTTCACCTGTTACCACTACTCATCACTAATATATTATTCATTAATAATGACTAACAATAATGGTTAAAAAGGCCCTTTCTTCACTGTTTTATTTAACACTATCTTCCGAGGTAAGTTCTTAAAACAGACTGGTTTTACCTAAAATGCTTAGTTGTAAGCCACACCTGTTTCCAGAACTTGTTTTTCAGTGCCAAGAGTTAATCTTCATGACATGTGAAATATGCCATTGATGTATTTGCACTGACTGCCATCTGCTTACAATGCTACTGCTATGGGGCATTTTAACTGGGAAATTTATGACAATATTTGTACCCTGCATTTCTCTTGTTGCTCAAAGTGGCTTACAATTCCAGAATTAAAAATATACAATATATAACAAAAACCTATTAAGCCCCCAAAAGAATATGTGTACAGTTTAAAACCCATTAAAAGCCCTTGCAGCATCTTGTAAAAACTTCTAAATTTGGTGCCCCTTCACCTCCTCAAAGCAGCTTGATCCATAATGTAGGAGAAGGGACCAGTGAATATAATTTATAATTGTGATTTCTGATATTTCTCTTAATATGTATAATACCAGCTGTCATTGTGTTTTATTAAGAGTTTGATTTTTAGTATTTAGCCCAAACAGAAGAGACTTAGAATAGAATTAATTAGAGTATTTTAATTGTCAAAGGTTCTTGTGGATACATTCAGAAAATAATGGAATGGAATGTATGTTTTGAAATTACAAGTTCCTCAGCTGAAGGACACTTGAGAGGAGAAGTTATGAGATGGAAAGACTCTTAAGTGTTTTCAAAACAAATAACATTCTGTGTAGAATAGAGCATCTGGCCCCACTAAGTCTGCCAACAGCTAAGTTTCATGCGTCTTATCAGAAAACCCCTTAGTTCAAGGCTGAAGCAAATAAGCCAGGAATGATGCCAGAAGGAAGGCCCCTCTGTTTATTGTTTTTTTTCCACTGTTCCGGGACCAGATAAGATGACACCATTATTGACACTTAAGATCCAGATAGGGGTTTGCTAATAGAGAAATGCCAGCTAAAATGATGTTCTGATGACGAGACCTGCTGGACACCAATTAAAGATTTCTTAATGTATAAACTGTAATTATGTCATTTGGGGTATAAGACCTATTTGCCCTTCCTGGTTGGGGCAGAATACAGCTTGGTGTTACTGGGTGCCAAGGTATCCAGTTCTGAATTTACTGATTATTGCAATAAACAGATATTTATCCTCTCCCTGGACTCCAACATTACTTTTTTCCCACCGTAGAGAACAATGGAGGGAATGGGGGCAACCTGTTTGGGGGCCCGTAGAATTGGACACCCTGGTCCAATGTTCTTGAAGCTTGGTGGGTATGTTGGGAAGAGGCTCCAGCAGCTACCCTGCAAGTTTGGAGCCTCTCCCTCAAACCCTCTCCCCTCCAGCCCCCAGAATATACCCTATGTTTTTGTCATTGACTTCAATGGCCCATAGGATAGAATGGGGCTGAAATTTTCGGCTGGCCCAAAGACTCCGGAATTGGCTCCTACTGCCGAAATTGACATGCTGGAGTCTTTTTGTTGGCTGAAATGGATTCTGCCCGATTCGGCTGAATCCGAATCGGGCCAAAATTATTATTTTTTTGCACACCCTATCTATGGCGTTTTACATGGTATTTTCCCATCTGGGCTTCTTTCCCTGTGGGCTTTTTACTGTATGGCTTTTTGGTGTATGGGTTTTTTTTCCCCTGTGAGCATTTATGACCATGGGGCTTTTTCTGTGGGGGTTTTTTCCTGTGGGCTGTTTTCACCGATTAGTACACCCAGTTCAGTTAAGTCTCCGAAAAGTGTGAGTTGCTGAAACACACACAGTTGAGAAAAGGCACTTTTGGCTACTACATCAACAGTGAAACAGCAAGGATGAGTCCATAAACACTCTCAGGCTCATAAACTTGTTTTGCAAATGCCAACTCCACGCCGTCTAAAACCAGGGTATCCAGCTCCTTCTCAGCCTCAAACTACAGGTTCAGAGCCAAACCAAATGAATGCAGAGTGCAAGTCAGTCTAAATATATTACTATTTCATTTTTCTGCATCACTTAACTTGCCCCTTTTGGGACTGTGGATCTAGAGATTAATTTATTCTGTTATTTAATGCAGGACATTTCCCCTACCGACTTGAAAGTAAGAGGGTTCTTCCACTTTCAGTGTTTTCTACTGAAGGGGATCCTATTTCCCTTTTCTTTCACCACTACGTTTGCCAGCTTCAGGCTGGGAATACCTGGAGATTTTGGGGGTGGAGCCTGAGATGGTGGGGAAGGAGAGGGAGTTCAATGGGATATAATGACATAGAGCACCTTGTATATTTACAAGGGAAAGGCGCAATTTTCAAAAAATCTATTTTTTTCTTACTTGTGAGGTCCTAAACTGTAAATTACGTAGTTTGTCCCTAAATCTAATTCTGCTTTTCATTTCTTGTAACAGTAAATGAACAGCTATATTACTAAACTATGCCATCTGCTGGTTGAAAGTTTGAAAATAGATACATAGCTCAAATTTTAATATACATGTTACAGCATCCCAGGAGATTTTTAAGACCAGGTATTTTATTTTCTAGGTCAAGAAAATAAATGTTAATATACATAATAAGTCAAACTACTATTTGAATTCTCTAAATTCATATCCTGTATGATCTTTAAAAGTACAACTGGTTATCCCTTTGCTTTAGATGTCTACCTGTAAGACAATAAATCCACAATAATACTAATATGAACAGTTGGTTTACCTCAAAGGTACTACAAAAGAATCGCGGATGAGACCTACAATCCACCTTGACGAACGCTGAGCCGTGACAGCGACCAGAAAGGCTGTTTTCCAGGCCAGGAATTTTATGTCGTAAGTTGCAAGAGGCTCAAAAGGTTTCCTGGTGAGTTGGCGAAGGACCAGGGGAAGGTCCCAGGGGACGACAGGACTTTTGATGGGAGGGTAAAGGTGTAACAGTCCCTTCAAAAAACGTTTAGAAAGTGGATGCAAAAACAGTGTGAACATGGTAGGTTGAAAGTGCGGCCAAATAAACCCTTAACAAGGAATGTGAAAGTCCCAAGTCAGCAAGAGACAGGAGGAATTTGAAAACTTTCTCGAGACCTGCGGAGGTGGCTTGAGGGGCATCGTCACCCAAGGAGGAACAGAATTTTTGCCACTTGTAATGATACGACTTTCGCGTAGTGGACTTTCTGGAGTTTAGCAAGACATTTGCTATGCAGGCGGAAAAGCTGTTGACGCTACTCTCCAGGCTGTCAACTTTATTTGTGGCACGTCGTGGTATAGGAGAGGGGACTCTGTTAGGAACAGGAGGTCTTGTGCCGGAGGAAAGTGGTGGTAGACCCCCACTGACAGATTGAGGATGGTTGAGAACCATGGTTGCCTCGGCCACCACGGGGTTATGAGGATGCAGTCCGCTCTGTTGCTGATGATTTTGCAGACCATTCTCAGAAGCAGAGGCAGTGAAGGGAAGAGGTAGAGAAATCCTCTGGACCACGGATAGAGGAGACCGTCCCCTAGAGACTGTGGGTCCCTGCCACCTTGGGTGCAGAACAGAGGGCACTTTTTGTTCGCCCTGGTGGCAAAAACATCTCTCTGGGGGAACCCCCACTTGCGGAAGAGTGGAAGAAGGTACATTGGATTCATTTCCAACTCGTGGAGACTGAGTCCTGCCAGACTTAGGTGGTCTGCCTGCACATTCATGTGCCTCGGGATGTGCGTGGCGACTAGGAAGACATTGTGGGCGATGCAGAAGTCCCATAATTGGAGGGCGAGGTCGCAAAGGCGTTGGGAGACGGTGCCCCCTTGCTTGTTCACATAACTGAGGGCAGTAGTATTGTCCGTGAGGACCGTGACACATTTCCCCTCGATCAGGGGCAGGAAACTAGTGACAGCGAACTGTATCGCAAGCAGTTCCAGGAAATGTATGTGCCGATTTCGTTTCTGAGTGTCCCATCTGCCTCTGACACAAAGTCCCATCATGTGGGTGCCCCAGCCCGAGAGGGAAGCGTCTGTAGTTAGGGTAATTTGGGGTGATGGAGGATGGACG